ACGTGACTAATTTTACATCTCACGTAATTTACAAATTTAATACAGGTTATTGAACAATTGCAATTCATTCATCACAGAAAATCGGTTAGACATTCGATCTAAGTCTTATTACTTAAATTAGTATTGTTTTTTCTTTGTTGTATGATTAAAAATACTTATTGCTATGACAGCTCAAGTTGCTTGTTTTAAATAGAATTAAAAATTAGACTATATGCTTTAATTCTATATAATATTAATGATTTGCGTTATTTGCAATTGCCATGCTTGAATCACTCAGATTTCAACAATTACATCCGTTCAGGTAAACAATCTTCCGTATATCATAAAAATAACCAATTACTGAATTAGTCACTTTGATAGCTTCTAAAACATTTATGCTTTATTTTAGGTACACCTGCAATCAGCAAAAAGGAATTGTCAGACCAATGTATCCCAATAAATAATCTAAGAGTATCTGATTCATGTTAGGTAATACGAGTGTTAGTGTTTGGGAGTGGAATAGTAAAAGAGTTCAACAATAAAGCAAATCAAGGCACCCAAAAATTGTGACATTAGTTGAAAAAGAGGTAATTATTATTTTATATCAATAATAATATAGATTATTTCATGTCTTTTCATATTATAGTTTTAGCCATCAGATTAACTTAAAGTGAAACTTTTTACACAAAACAAAAATTCACGCTACACTTTTGTAATGGTTATATTGGGATATGAAAAAATTATTTACAACAAAATAAGATATGAAAAAACATGAAGGCTCTTAGTGAAATGTCGTTTGCCCTTTTTACCCCTTAAAAATAAATATTACATTGGACAAAATTGTAAAAATTTACTTTCCTAATATTTAGGATCTTGAAATAAATTAAGATTTTAGTTATTAAATATCTCTTTATTCACAAGGTAGGAAGTACTAATATTTAGAATTTTAAGTCAACCAAGATTTTATATATTACAAATCCTTTCCTTGAAAAGTTTGTTGTCCTAATACGAGAAAAAGAAAAATATGATTGAACCTGATTATAATAATTTATTGTAAAATTGAGGTTCGATGTAATTTATATTGCTGATCAAATCTCACTAATGAGTGATTCAATGTAATTCAACTAAAATATTGCATACTAAATTATTTCTTTATTTAAAACTTATAATGAGCTAATATTAACAATTTGAATCAACAAAAAAAAATCATAATAATAGTATTTTTGGTTGTATGTAAATTATAATTACCGTTGAATATAACAACTGTAATTATTAACAAAATATTACCTTATGTAGGAAGTCTTAATATTTAAAAATTAAAACTAATATAATATAGATAATTAATATATTATTGTTTTCGATGATGACCACTTATCAGAAGGTTTTCTTTTCCTTTCCATAAATAGGCTTTCCCAACCACAATAGGGATTCTTACTTATTTTTGCATGATTTGGAATTGGAGTGACAAATACATAATTTACTTCAAAATCTTAAATAATAATTTATTCAAAGTTTACATTATAGTTTTAACCTACAAATTGTAGCTTTATTTAGTTAATCAGATTGTATTGCACAATAGTCCATGAATCTTCACTTAATTTTAACACAAAAATAGTAAATTTTAATTACATGTAATTTATCACATCGCCTTTAATATGAAATAAAAAATAAAGCAAAAAAAAAAATTCTTTAAAGAATAATGGAGGTGGCAATTACACCCAAAGAAAAAAAAACTACTAACTTTTAATTTATAATCATAGGCTACTTTCTTTCGTATTCAGTATTATAGTTAAATAATTTTAAAACTTGTATATTCATGCGCGTACCCTAAGACTAGTAACATGATAATAAAGTANGTTGGTGGGGATGAGGAATAGGGTGGGGAAGGTTGAAAAAGAGTTTTGAAAAATATTTTCCCTTATCTTAGTAGGGAAAACATTTCCTCCTATGAGTTCATGAGAACACAAAATATTTAAGCCAATCAAACATGAAAAACTAGAAAATATTTTTCTTCACACCAAACACACCCTAACTCATTATTTCAATAGATTTGCTGTCTATAATTTTTATGGGTAAGGAGGATATTATTTTAAGTTTTGCTTCTTGTGATTTAAATGACAAAAGAAAGAAATAGGAGAAACTATAAAAATCAGAACAACTGAAATGGAAATAACCTATTATCCTAACTATAGTTAAGATCTTGTATTACTTAATTAAATCTAAACTATTGATAATAAAACTGATAGACGGAAAATTGCATGTCAAGAGGACAATGTGTTTTGAATCGTATATTGGCAGTAAAATAATTTAATAAATATAGCCCACAAAAGATAGTGATGATAGGTTTTACCATCATGCCAAAAACTATAGTTGATAGTAAGGTCGCAATGTTATTTCTTAACCAATCTATAGAAATTCCCTAGAAGAATGCCATTTATAAACACTAATGTAATACTTATAAAGTTAAATATTTTTTTAATAAAATAAACTAACAAAAAAAAAAGGAAAAAAAATATTCTCAATACTTCCATGAAGTTTAGAAAAGTTCATGTATTCTAAAAAAACTTATGAAACTAGTTTAACAAATTATTATTATAATTTCTTAGCCAAAAAAAAAGGCCCATGAATAAACTTCAACATGCGATATCTCAACTTAGAAAAATCTCATAAAATTTTCTTTAAAAGTGCAACATACAACTATTAAAAAAGAAAATGACAAATAACAACAACAACAACAACAACCCTATATAATCCCACTTAGTGGGGTCTGTGGAGGGTAGTGTGTACGCAGACCTTACCCCTACCCTAGGGTAGAGAGACTGTTTCCAAATAGACTCCTGACATCCTTCCCTCCAAGAACTTCCCACCTTGCTCTTGGGGAGACTCGAACTCACAACCTCTCGGTTGGAAGTGGGGGTTGCTTACAACTATTAAAAAAGAAAATGACATCTATTTAAATTAAATCAATATTTTAGAATTTATCAAATACTTAGTAGATGAATATTTTTCATACAACACCTTTGAAGACTCATACTAAGCATAAAACTCAACTCCAAAACTCAAATACAATTATTAAGTCTCCAATCATTTTTTCAAGTTCAATTCAAATACCAAATTTAACATATTACAAGACTTGGTCATAAAAACCCTGGTCGCGCTTTCTTTTTCTCACGAAATCGGGTTTCGACTTTCTGGGACAACTCCTTTCCGTGAGGGTAGGGAATTGGATTTGAAAGAGTCGCCACCTAACAGATTAAGGTGCGTTAGGACACCTAGAGTAATTAACTCATATAACTAGTCTGCATCACCAGAAATCGGCTAAGGGCTCGAAATTACCTTGAGGGGAATATGTTAGGAACCCCTCGAGGTTCACAATGGTGGGTACCGACTGAACTTAAATTAAGCAAATTAGTCTTAAAGGGAAAAAACAATTTGGACAAATACAATATTCAATTTATTTTTACACATGAGTATAAAGGGGTGGTCCTAAGTTTTTTTAGCCAATAGGATCATTCCATGCAATGCTTTGCAACTCCCTCAAGTCGGGGTTTTACTCATAGCATTAGCGCATGGGATATCATTTCCTTTACTACCCAATTACTATCTTCAAGTTGTTACTTAAGCACACTAATTGATTCTAAACCGTACCCTATACGTGCACTACCCGTCCCTTACCTATGGCCCTGGAGGTATTAGGACCTCTATTTGGGATGATTATAGACCAACCTATGTTACTTAAAAATGTGAAATCTAGGTGACACAGAAAAAGCAAATAAGACGTTCATATAAAGAGCAAGTATAGGCGCATATTAACCTCCACACATAAGCAACAAAAACACGCATTTGAACCATGTATACGATAAAATCGGAGGGTCCAATTTTATTGGATGTTATGATGCCTCATAAGCATATTTCACAAGGTTCGAGACTAGGGTCGAGATTCACCCTCGAAGGCTATCGACGCTCGACCTCGGGGCAAAGCAGACCGACGGCTATGACAAAAAAGTGGGGAGTTTCCAAGGCGCACAACTAGGGATGATAAAGTCTAGTGAGCTAAGTTCAGGCCCGAATCATGGTTTCATCTAGCTGTCTCATCCCCATATCTTTGTAATTAATGCATTTGTACTATGTTTGGATTCCCCCTCTTATATAAAGGGGATCCTTATCATCTTGTAAGCATCTGTTGATCCATACTCAATATACTCGAACATTATCTCTGCTCTCTAACATATTCTCTTGATTTCGTTATCTCATTTATTGCTCATATTCACTGTGTTCTATTTATTGTTCATAATTTATTGCTTATTATTGGCCATAAAGAGTCGTCTTTGATTTGTTTATAACTGTTATTTCCTGTCGGCCACCTTCGATAGCTCCCAGCCGAGCTTCAGACTCGACCCCGAGGCCCTCGATTAGGCAAGCTCGAGGCCCCGATCAATAGCTATTCAGTTTGATTAACATCTCATTTTTAAGTTCTTATCTCATTTCTAAGTTCTTATCTCATTTCTAAGTCTTTCACATAACATCAACTGTCTAACAATCAGCATAAAAATAGATCACATATTTTAGAACCGCTAAATCAAATTTAATTGTTATAACCGTTTTCACGGTAAACAGTTTGGCGCCCACCGTAGGGCTAAAAATAATAGTGATTATTTTCTTGTTGGTTTAACTACATAACACAAGTTGTCTTTCACACTTTTTTTGTCCAAGATCTTGGATTTCATCAAAATTCTTAAACCAATAAGTGTGCCCGAAAATAACAGCCTCAAAAACTATGGGAAATGCGGTACAGTTACTCCAGGTATGGGTGTGCCACCACGAAGCCCTGAGAACATACCGGAGCTGATTCTTAAGGGTATGACCTCGTGCGATGCCCAAGGCATTAACGTCGGTCCTCACATTAACCAGGGAGCATGCCGAGAAACTTAATAGGAAANAGGGGGACCGACATTCCCTAAGGACCCGTGATCAAATGGATAAAAATATCCGCTGCAATTGATGGACCGATCGGAGACCGCATGACCGAAGACACCCTCACATTCAGCGAGGAGGATCTCGAGACCTTGGTAGAACCACACAACAATGCACTGGTAATTTTATTTCTTTTAAGCAACATTCGAATTAAACATGTGCTTGTGGATCCAGGTAGCTCGACAAACATAATCAGGTCTACGGTAGTAGAACAGCTTGGTTTGCTCGACCAGATTGTACCCGTCTCTCGGGTCCTCCATGGCTTCAACATGGCTGGCAAATTCACGAAAGGAGAGATTGCCCTCCCAGTTGACATGTCCGGTACAGTTCAGAACACCAAATTCCACGTTATCGGCGATGATATGGTGTATAATGCATTGCTCGGCAGACCATGAATACACAGCATGAGGGAAGTAACATCGACTGTACACCAGATGATAAAATTTCCAACAAAGGATGGTATAACAACCATATATGGAGAACAACATGCGACAAAAAAAATGTTCGCAGTTTACCAGGAGGCATTAAGCCCCATACACTCCACCTCAGATGAGTCTAGGAGCATACATACTCCCGAGAATGATGAGGAAGATTTCTTCACCCCTCGTACATTCGTTGCCCCTGAAGAGTCAGATTCAACGAAATTGACAGTTGAAGAACTGGAGCAAGCTATTTTGATTGAGCATCTCCCGGATCGGAAGGTATACCTGGGAACGAGATTAACCCCCGAACTCAGGAAAAAAACTCATTCAATTCCTTGTTAACAACATCAACTGTTTTGCTTGGTCCCATTTAGATATGACAGGAATCCCACCGGAAATAATCATCCACTGATTGAGTGTCGACCCCAGGTGTAAACCGGTGAAGCAAAAAAGAAGACCCCAGTCCGAAGTAAACACGCATTCATCAAGGATGAGGTAACGAAACTCCTTAAAATAGGGTCTATCAGAGAGGTAAAGTATCCTGAATGGCTGGACAATGTAGTGGTAGTGCCAAAAAGGAAAATAAGTTAAGGATGCGCGTAGATTATAAAGATTTAAATAAGGTGTGCCCCAAGAATTCTTTTCCATTGCCCATATTCGATCGTCTGATCGATGCTACGGCCGGCCATGAGACCCTCACCTTTATCTATGCCTACTCGGGGTATAACCAAATTCAGATGAACCCCGAGGAAAGGGAAAAGACTTCGTTCACAAAGTATTGTACCTACTGTTACAATGTAATGCCCTTCGGGATGAAAAACGCAGGGCCACGTACCAACGCCTAGTTAATAAAATGTTCGAGCATCAAATAGGAAAATCCATGGAAGTTTATATTGATGACATGCTAGTTAAATCATTGCTCGCAGGGGACCATTTGACTCATTTGCAGGAACATTCGATATCCTCAGAAGTTACAACATGAAACTTAACCCCGAGAAATGTGCCTTTGGAGTGGGTTCAGGCAAATTCTTAGGCTTCATGGTATCTAACAGGGAAATCGAGATCAACCCCAACAAAATCAAGGCAATCGAGGAAATTACGGTGGTAAATAGTTTAAAGGCTGTGCAACAACTGACGGGGCGAATAGCGGCTCTAGATAGATTCATATCGAGGTTGTCGGATAGGAATCACCATTTCTTCTCCAACACGCCTTAGAGAAACTGAAGTGGTATTTGACTAGTCCACCTTTGCTCTACACGCCAAAAGGAGGATGAAATGCTATATCTATGCCATATCCGAAATAGCGGTAAGTGGTGTGCTAGTTCGAGAAGAGTGAGGTACGCAATTTACCGTTTATGATGTAAGTCTGACCTGGGGGATGCCAAAACCAGGTATCCGCACCTAGAAAAATTAGCTCTTGACGTAATAAGCGCATCGCAAAACCTGAAACCCTATCGGGTCAATTGGCCAAATGGGACATCGAACGCAGGGGGTATGATATCGAGTATCAACCCCGAATGGCTATCAAGTCCCAAATTCTGGTGGTCTTCGTGTCCGACTTCTCACCATCTCTCATGCCCGAGGTAGAAAAGGAACTTTTACTAAAATCAGGCATGTCTTCCGGGGTATGGACCCTATTCACTAATGGCGCCACTAACGTAAGGGGATCTGGGCTCGGTATAGTTCTAAAGCCGCCTATGGGCGGCATAATCAGGCAATCTATAGAAACTACAAAATTGACTAACAATGAAGCCGAGTATGAGGCTATGATTGCAGGACTATAATTAGCCAAAGGCCTAGGAGCTGAGATCGTCGAAGCAAAGTGCGATTCACTCCTTGTAGTAAATCAGGTAAATGGGAGCTTCGAGGTCCAAGAAGACAGGATGCGAAGATACTTGGACAAAATCCAAGTCACATTGCGCCGTTTCAAAGAATTGACCCTGGTCTACATACCTCGGGACCAGAACAGCGAGGCTGATGCCCTCGCAAACCTGGGATCATCAGCTGAAGAAGATGACCTACTCCCCGGGGCCATCGTTCAGCTGTCCAAATCGGTGGTCGAAGAAGGCCGTGTAGAGATCAACTCCACCAGCCCAACATGGCATTGGAGAAACAAATATATTGACTACCTGAAAGATGGGAAACTACCCGTAGACTCGAAGGAATCGAGGGTCTTGCGAACCAAAGCAGCCCTATTCTTGCTCGACGAAAACGAGACTCTGTACAGAAGAACCTTTGATGGCCCCCTGACAGTATGTCTGGGACCGGGAGACACGGATTATGTATTCCGAGAAATTCACGAGGGTACTTGCGGAAACCACTCCGGCACCGATTCCTTAGTCCGAAAGGTGATAGGGCAGGCTACTACTGGGACATCATGGAAAAAGACACTAAGGAATTCGTCCAAAAGTGCGAGAAATGCCAAAGATTTTCCCCTATGATTCACCAACCCGGCGAACAACTACATTCGTTCTTATCGCCATGGCCGTTCATAAAATTGGGAATGGACATCGTCGGACCTCTACCGACGGTACCAAGTAAAGATAAATTTATTCTATTTATGACTAACTATTTCTCAAAAAGGGTGGAAGCGCAGACCTTCTAGAAAGTAAGGGAGAAAGAAGTCATTGACTTCATCTAGGACCACATTATATGCCGATTCGGGATTCCTTCCGAGATAACTTTCGATAATAGGAGGCATTTCATTAGAAGAAAAATAACATAGTTCCTTGTGGATCATAAAATCAAGAGAATCCTGTTGACGCCTTACCACCTGTTTGCAAACGGCCAAGTCGAGTCCACTAACAACACCATCATCTAAAACTTAAAAAAGAAGTTGGAAAACGCCAAGGGAAGATGGAGAGAAATACTGCCCGAAGTGCTATGGGCATACCGGAAAACTTCAAAATCAAGCACAGGGGAAACACCTTTCTCTCTAGTGTATGGAGCCGATGCTCTAATACTAGTGGAGGTCAGGAAATCAAGCGCCAGATTCCGACACACCACTGAAAGCTCGAACAACAAGGCCATGACTACGACCCTCGAACTATTATATGAAAAAAAGAGAAGCCTTGCTAGTCCGAATGGCTGCCTAAAAGCAAATGATTGAAAGATATTATAACAGGAGAACAAACCTCTGATATCTCGGAGTCGGGGAGTTAGTCCTAAGGAAACTCACCCTCAACACCCAAAATCCTAATGAAGGAAAGCTAGGCCAAAATTGGGAAGGACCGTACCGTGTCCTCAGAGTAATCGACAAGGGGTCCTACAAGCTCGTTACCATGGAAGGCGAGCTGCTTCCAAGCAATTGGAAAATATCAATGCTAAATCGATACTACTGCTAAGATGTCCGAGGGAAAATTGGAGGACTTTGGGCTCTTTGTCACCCTGACACCGGTACCTCCACCTTCGAAAAAGCTGAAGGATAAATAAATAGGAAAATAGTGATAACAAGATACACCCTCAGTTATTCTCGACTAAATAAAATAGGGACCGTACCGCGTCCTCATCATAAGCAGCTAAAACATATCAGGGCTCGGAACATCGCCGACACATTCTACACTAAGGTATGACCGTTTCTTTTATCATTCAATCATATTCTACACAGACCCAAGCACATATATTCGATCGAAACTACCAAAGAACTCTCCAACTCGAAGGTCTTAGGTTTCAAAAAGCATGCGTTGCACTCTTTTCCTTCGACCGGGTTTTTATCCCAAAAAGTGTTTTACCGGCAAGGTGTTTAATGAGGAAACATATATATGCTACCTAAGGATGATCCAACAAGTACTCAAGGCTTCTTTTGAAACAAACCTCAAATACTGGGGGCCATCCCCCGGAAGGTCACCTACTCGGAGAAGCCAAGATATGCCAAACGGGGGCTCAATAGGAAAGTAATGTACCGGGCCAAACGGTCGGACAAATCGTGCCCCCATAGAACAACCGAGCCCGCAACAAAAAAATGTATACTTGTACCAAGTAATCAAAGAATACTTCCCAAAAGCATTTTGCATTTCAAGGAAGCTCGATATTTTTGCAAACAAAATGGCTCCAAAGCCGAAAGGCGCCCCGAACACTCGGTTCAGGTTCAACATACAGTTTGAACAGTAAGATAAGTGCTTATGCTAGCATTTGAAACAGTCATGTCTTAGTCATAGAAGAAATTAGGTAGAAAACATTTGAATTGAATAGACAGGATAGATGAGTTAAGCACAAACATACTTGATTACATGCCCATAGTTTAGAACATGTATAAAACTGACGAACAGATCAAACATTAAACCAACATATAATAGGATTCCTGTTATTCTAAATAACTTAGTCTTAAGTTAACAGTATTATCAAATTACCAGATAAAGGACAGAATCATGATAGGAATTGAAAGAGGCTAGTCACACAAAACATAGAGAAAGAAATTGCAAAGGTTAGGGCATACCAGTTGAGAAGAAAGCAAGTAAAGGTGCATTAATAGTTAAATTCCAGAGTAATTTGGCCTTGGGTTTCAGCTAGCCAAACAATAGGCACTTAGTGCAAAAATCATAACAGGGGCAAGAGAGAGAGAGCTTAAGTTTTAGTAGTGAGAATAGGAGAGTTCGAGTCTTCCCTCAAGGGGAAAGGGGAAGGGTTTAAATAATGTAGGAATTAAACACATAAACATGGAAAACCAATTCATCGAACACTATAAAGGTAAGCATTTAAATTAGTAAAATTAGACCCTAAACGTTACGTGAAGATACACAAACTCAGTGGGGAAAAGGTAAAGAGTCACATAAAGCATATAACGAAAAGGAATATCAGATTTGGTTCAAGTAAAAGGGTCTGAAACCCTAATTTAAGTAAATCCCAAAATCAACAGAGAATAAAGCAAATAACCACAAGTTTGCATAAAACGAACATTGATGGGAGATTATTCAAAAGGAAACATAGAATCGAAACAAAAAAGATCTGAAATCCTAATTTAGGGCAAAATACGG